CAGTATGTGTTTAGCGTTGATAATGGTAACATTGTTTCCGAAATACGTATCCGCGACTTTTCATTAATTTTTTTGTGGCTTTTGAGTTTAATATTTTTAATATTTTTTAGTTTTTTTAAATTAATAATATTTTTAATATAGTTTTAATTTTACTTAATTAATTAGCCACAAGTGATCAATTTTTATTATATCATAGACAGTATTGGAACATATCCTTTAACATTAATCGGAAATTAATGGAAAACACAAGGAGCGGTCTAGACACTCGCTCCTTAGCGTTTGTTAGAAAAAAGAAAAACACGTGCTCTCCACATATAAATAACATTAAGTTATTTAAAAAAAAATGAAATAAAATATAGCTCATCACATAAATATAATTATAAAAAAGAAAACGACACCTTGTCTCCAAAGAGACGCATCCGATGGTCTAGATGCTTCGCTAAAAGACCTGATCATTGGTCGTTGGCGGGTCTACTCCATCATTTAAAAAACAGTGACAAAACAAAAACAAAAATATTCACTCTAGCACGGTCAATAGGAGGAGAAGATAAAGAGNGTCATTGGCGGGTCTACTCCATCATTTAAAAAACAGTGACAAAAAAAAACAAAAATATTCACTCTAGCACGGTCAATAGGAGGAGAAGATAAAGAGTCAACACCAATCTAACGATAATTTTAAATTGATAACGGCTAGTCTTTTTGAGAGGGATCAATACCGATAAACCATTCAATTTTAATTACATTTATTCTCTTTTGTCACCTTATTTAGCAGTCAGGGGCAAAACTAATAAGTTGTTAACACTGCTGTGTCAGAAAAAGGTTCATTCGTGCAATCTCTTGCGCGATAAAAATTTAATAAGTAGACATAACAAAAATCTTAAACAGTCCACCTTTGAATTTGTAACGTTACACTTTTTAATATTATATTTTAATTTCATTCTTCCAAAAATAAATTAGAGTCCCAGACATGATCAATAAAAATAATTTTGTCATTTCTAGTTATATTCTAAATTAAACTATGAGTAGATNAGTTATATTCGAAATTAAACTATGAGTAAATATAAAATAAACAGTGAGAAATGAGAAATGAGTAAAGTGAAAAGTGCAATCGAGCGGCGGCGGCAAATTAACCCAACTATGATTATGTGACATGATGTCTATCACCACAAAGGGTTTGCCTCCCTTGACTAACGTATGTATTATAACAGTTGATCTATGGTGTACCCTTTCATAGAAGGAAAGGTGATGTGTTACCATACTTATTATAAGGTGATCAATATTAGGATATTAAAGGAAAAATAATTATAATAAATATGTACTATATTTTACTATATCATAAGAATTCAGTTATTTTGTAATTAAAAAGAAATATTTATACGTTAGCAGTAACCATAATATTTTATCAAATTCTTTTTGATTATTCAGTTAAACTACTGCATTTGTTATTCAACATTGTTTGTTAATTTGTAAACGATCTTGTATAAAACATATGTATACACCTACTTTATTGCATATATATATACAAATATTTGGAAATCGTGAGTTCAAAATTAATTATTCTAATATTAAAGTGAAATTACTTAAATGATGAAGGAAAGGGTTAGTACACGGGTTCTGTGATTTGTTGAAGCCATATAAAAATTTATGATTTTTACCATAAATGTGCGTGAAATTTTTGATAGAGTCACAGTGTCATCAAGAACCATCAGCTCTAAAAAAACTCTACTACATGAACAATATGGCTGCCGAACCTGTGAGAAAACAACGCTACATTTATATCGCACCAACACGTCCAAAAGAGATGTTTGGCAGTTCAAGTTACACTACAACGTTCAGGGACAGAAAATTTTTGCAAGTGGGCTGAATCCAAAAAAAAATTTCGATGTTACGGTATGCATTATTAATCTCTCACGACATATTAGTATGTTGGCAGACTTTTTATGAATTATTTATGGCATGATGGATGAAAAAACATTATTTCAATAATCACCTCCAATAAAAGGAAAAAATGTTGTGTTATACCAAAATGTTGATTTTAAAATAGTCAAAGTATTGTACCGTGATACTATGCATTTAATATTAGAATCCAGGATGGGCAATGGGTTTCGAGTGTTATTGAATAATGAAAACATTAAGAGACTTATGGACTTACAGTGCACAATTAAAAATAGTGCGATACCAAGAAAAATAAAAACACGTTTACTATAATGCCATCAAATAGATCGCATCACATAATACACTGACGGTAAATGGTCAGATCCTAAAATTCAACATTTAAATAATTATGAAATGGTTAATTTTATAAGAAGTTTGAATAATAAAGAAATATGTGATACTATTTCTAAAGGTGACAGTAATTACATAAGCGAACTGAAAAATTTAGCATACAATGAAATAGTCGATCGATTGATCAAGTTTTGGTCCGAGTACATGCTTCAAATTAATGTGAGTTTAATGAACATAGAATGTTATAAACTTCATTGTTATTAAATTAATAATTTTGTTTTTGGAAAAAGAAAAAGAAATGTGCGACAAAAATGACAGTCCGGCATTTTTCAATACAACATTGTTTAGCCAAGAAAATAGTTATAGTCTATGGGCATCACAATGACCGAAATCCAATCACGTCAAAAGATTAATCCATATAAATAATTTATGAACAATAACTTAAAGTATTGTAATTGTACTAGTTTCTTATAATAAACTTTTTTTTTTTTTTTATTTATTCGATAATTTATTTACAATCTATAC